CTAATGCACTGTTAGTGGAGCTGTGAATTGATTCAACCATTATGCAGAGCAATTTGGAACTTATGTCCAAAGGACCATAAAATCATGCATACCCTTTGGCCCAACAATACCTAGGTCTGAACCCAAATGAAATAAAAAACAAAAAGGAAAAGGACCTATATGTACAAAAATATTTATAGCAGCTCTTTTCTGGTGGAAATTGGGGGGGATGCTTATCAATTGGGGAATGGCTGAACGAATTGTGGTATATGATTGTGATGGAATACTATTGTGCCATAAGAAACAATAAGCAGGCAGATTTCAGAAAAACCTGGAAAAAATTTACATGAGATGATGCAAAGTGAAAAGAAGAATATTGTACACAGTAACAGAAATATTGTAAAATAATAAACTGTGAGTGACTTAGCTATTCTCAGCAATACAATGATCCAAGACAACTCTGAAGGACTTATGATGAAAAATGCTATCTGTCATGGAATATTAGAGAAAGAACCAAAGGAGTCTGAATACAGATCAAAGCATACTTATTTTTACTTTCTTTATTTTTCTTGGATGATGAAAGGTGAAAAGCCAATAGACTTTGGTTGGATAAAGGGATTTCAGAATTTTCTAACATGGAGGTGGTACATTTGTGGGTGAATAGCAAGATCAAGAATATGGCCATCTTTGTATGTGGCTAAATTGAGGTGGAGGAATAGCTCCAATCAATATGTGTATTGAAGTCCCCTAGTATGAGGGCAGGAGTCAAGAAGGCGAGAAAAATTGTAAGCTGGGTATCAAACTCATTGAGGAAGGAAGGGGAATGACCTGGGGGTCTGTAGACAATAGCCACCAGGATTTTGATTGGGTAGTATATATGAATAGCATGAACTTCAAAGGAAGAAAGATTATTGAATTGATGGAGGAAGAAGGAGGACCTGGAAGTGGCAATGGGGAGCAAATAGCACTCTAACTCCCATGCCTCTACCAGTAAGCTGAAGAGAATAAGTGAGGGTGGCCAAGGATGCTGTTTCATTATGAGGAGTCAGGTTTCAGTAAGAGTTAGTAGATAGAACAGAGTAGGAGAGCAATAGATTTAAGATAAAAGGAAGTTCATTGCATATGAAACAGGCATTCCAGGGCACAGTGGAAGGGCTAGGTGGAGTCAGGATGAAACTTGGGGGTGGGAGGGTTGAGGAGGGTGGGAATGAGGAATTGGGTAGTAGGGGGTGAGTATGGGGTTTGGATGATGATCAGGAGTTCAGAGTCATTGGGCTGTGAAGGGTATGAACAGATGAGAATGTTCATCATTGAGTGGAAGGCACAAACACTCCTGTTATTCTCAAAGGACAGGTGCAGCAGGAGACAGGAGGCCCGAAGTCAAAGAGAAGGCTGCTCTTCCTTGCATTGGTTATCCACATCCCACCAACCTATATGTGGGATTTGCTAATACAGTGCACAGAATTCTACCAGTCCATATATAATTCTGTGAACTCATGCATGTTTCCACCAGCTTGATCCCAGAAACAACGACAGACCTTATCTAGCATCATTATTTGATTCCATTAAAACCAAGTGTTCAGGAAAAGAACATTTCTGGGGTCAGTGAGTTCCACAGGAACAATATTGTGAGTGTTGACAGTGGAGGATCAATTGATTCAGATGTTAAAACGGGCTTTGTTCTTCTGCAGTACCAGCATTGGTTGGAGGCATTATAACTAGGAGATGTCTGGTAGTGTTTCTGTCACTCACTAAAACATTACCCCACCTATATAAGAGCTCATCCACTTCTATAGACTCCCACTAGACCAAAGGTTTATTCAGTGTCTGCCATGTTCCAGGCACTGTGCTAGGCACTGGGAATAGTTCACTCTCCTGCCATAATGTACTGGTTCCCACCAACCCATGTGTGCCCACCATCCCATGTGTGATCTCCCCAAGTCATGTACAATTCCACCATCTTTCTGTGTTTCCATTTTCCCATATGTGTTCTCACAGCCAGTTCATGTATGGACCTACCAGCCCATTCAAGACCCCATCAATCTGTTTGTGACCTTGCCAACCCATATATGATTCCACCAGCCCACACACGATTCCACTGGTTTGTATGTGATGCCACCAGGCCATGTATGATCTCACCAACTCCTACCCCACACACTACCCAGTCAGAAAGAAATTCTCTCACTCTTGACTGACCTAGTTTCCTCAAGGTGTCCCCCCCCCCTCCACCGCCCACACACAGCTCCAGCCTTAGAGATAGCTCAGCCAAATGTTCTGCCAATGGCGTCTGATTCCTACCCCAACAAAACAATGGGAGGGAGGGACGGTGATTCCTCAGGGAGCCCCTGGCCCTGTGGCTGCCACCTGTCCCAAGGACAAATAGCCCTTCCTGTCCATTTACACAGCAGTATCTGCCTTAATGCTCTTATTAATACCCCCATTAATACTCTCCTGGCTCTTTCCATCAGCACTCTCATTCCTGTTCTCATTATCGCTTTCCCTAATGCCCTCATCAATGTTCTCCTTAATACTCTTGCTAATGCCCTCATTATTGCTTTCATTAATACTCTCATTACTGCTTCATTAGCATACTCTATAATGGTATCATTAGCATTCACATTAATACTCTCCTTAATGTTCACATTAGCATAGTCATTATGCTCTTAATACTTTAATTAACCCTGCCATTAATGTCACCAGTCGATCCCATTTTTATGGTACTTTGCAGTTTACAAAGTGAAAAGTAGTATGATATGGTGGGTAGAGCACCAGACTTGAAATCTGGGAGATCTGGATTCAAATCCCACCTCATGGACTAACTAGCTGCATGATCTTGGGCAAGTCATTTAAACATATCTGTGCCTCGGTTTCTTTATCTATACAATGTAGGGGTTAGGTTTCAGGGACTCCAAGGTTCCTTCCAGTTTAAATCCATGATTCTTTTATAACAATAATAGCTAGCATTTATATAGTGCCTACTGTGTTCAGTGCTTTACAAATATTATGTCATTTGATCCTTGCAAAAAGCCTGGGAGATGGGGCAGCTAGGTGGTGCAGTGGTTAGAGCACCGACCCTGAAGTCAGGAGAACCTGAATTCAAACCTGACCTCAGACCAAGCACTTGACACTTACTAGCTGTGTGACCCTGGGCAAGTCACTTAACCCCAATTGCCTAAAAAAAAAATCCTGGGAGATAGGTGCTAATATTATCCCCATTTTACAGCTGAGGAAACTGAGACAAACAAGTTAAATGACTTGTCCACTGGTCACTCAGTTAGTGGCTTTCACTCATTTTTGTCTTAATATTTTCAGTGTTCTAAAATCACTAGCCCTGAACTGGTTTGGGCAGGGGGAGTTCTCCCACAGTTGCTCCTTTATTGGGAGTTCAGCTTGTTTGATTAAACCTTTTCATTCTGGGCCCTTAGTCCCTTTTCTAGAGGGGATAATGGTTCAGGAAGAGAGGGACTGGATTAAATGGTTTCTGAGGGCTGTATTATGGTCAGTTGAAGCTTTTTTGTGGTGGGGAGGGAGACAAGAAAGAGGGAATATGGGAAGGAGAAGGCATGAGGAAGGGACATGATGTGTGTATGATAGGAAGTGGAGAAAGGAAGGCCTTGGGGATAAGGATGGACAGAAGAGGGAAGAAAGAGGGAGGGGAAGGGGAGAAAGAGAAGCACAGAGAAAGAGAGAGAGAGAGATCATAAAAGGGAGGAAGAAAAGGCAAGAAGCAGAGAAGGAAGAAGAAAAAAGGAGGAAGAGAGGGGAAGGGGAAGGAGGAAAGGTGAGTGTCACACAGTGAAATTCTGAGGTCCCAACATGTTGCCAAGGCCTGTCGATTTTACCTTCATAACATCTCTTCCATATGCCCACTTCTCTCCATTGTCACTGCTGCCATGTTGGTACAAGCCTTCATCACCTCACCCCTGGACTATTGCAATAGCCTGCTGGTGAATCTGCCAGCCTCAAGTCTCTCCCCACACTCTAGTCAAGCCTCCCCTGTGCTGTCAAAGTGATCTTCCTCAAGCAGAGGTCTCCTTCCCCAGTGCCCCACTCAATAAATCCCAGTTGTTCCCTATCCCCTCTAAGATCAAATATAAAATCCTCTGGTGTTCGTAACTTCATAACTGCTCTCCCTCCCATATTTCCAATCTTCTTACACCTTACACTCCCTTACCTACTCTTCAATCCAGTGACACTGACTTCCCTTCTGTTTTTCAAACAAGGCACTCCATTTCCTGACTCTAGGTATTTTCTCTGGCTGTCTGTCCTGGCTGGAATGCTCTCTCTCCTCATTCCTACCTACTGGTTTTCCCAGCCTTCTTCAAGTCCCAGCTACAACCCCATCTTCTATGGGAAGCCTTTCCTTATCACAATTCTAGAACCTCTCCTCTGTTGATTTGATTATTTCCCATTTATCCTATATATTTATATACTATACTATATGTGGTATATATAATATATATATATACATACACTATTTACAGTTGTTTGCATGTGGTCTTCCCCATTAAATTGTGGACTCCTGGAGAGCAGGACCTGTCTTTTATCTTTCTTTGAATACTCAGTGCTTTGCACAGTGCCTGGCACATAGTAGGTACTTAATAAATGTATATTGACTGACTGAAGATTAATGGTCTTCTCATGCCCTCTTGACATGGTGCTTATCATGGTCCTTGGTTCTTCTAATTCCTCCAACTTTCAGAGGTTCTGCTCTGAATGAGACAACCATAGCAGCCCAAGAGTGGAAAGTTATTCTCTGAGCCATAGGGACAATGACTAGAGCAATATCAATGCCAGGGTTGGATCTGGTGCCAGGACCACAAGGTCCCCACCTCTGCCAGAGTGAGCAGTGTCTCTGGTTTATCTTCAAATAGCAAAGTACGTTTTAGGGCACCTTGCCTCTCTTCTGAATTGCACTCAGGGCCCTAGGGCAGAAAACCCCCAGAAGCTCAAGGTGAGGGATAGGTTGATGAAATGCTGTTCTCAGCCCTAACTCTGCTGCTTCTGTCCTTGCCCCACAGTATGGGATCAAGAAGAAGGAGGAACGTGAGGCAGAGGCCCAGGCTGCAATGGAAGCCAACTCTGAAGGCAGCCTTACGCGTCCTAAGAAGGCCATTCCACCAGGTTGTGGCGATGAAGAAGAGGAGGAGGAAGAGAGCATCCTGGACACCGTCATCAAATACCTCCCTGGTCCTCTCCAGGATATGTTCAAGAAGTAATTCCCCATGAACTCTCAGACTGTTTCTACCATGAACAGCAAAGCAATGCCGTTCCCACCACTTGGTGGGAACACTCTCTATCTCGCCACCCACCATGCACCCCTCTGCTCACTCCATCTTCCTGCCCCCTCCCTCCCTGGCTTCCCCAGGCCCCTTGGCCAGGCCTATTTGTACATAATCCCTCCTCCCCACTCTCCCCAGTAGATGCCTCCCATCCATCAGATGTCAGGAGCAGAGTGCCGCAGTCTACTCAACTTTAATTATAAGCCATAGTACTAGGTGTGTTAGGAAACTCAGCTAATCAGGCACCTCTACACTCGACAGAGAAAAGGGGAGACCTCCCAGTGGCTTCTGGCCCCCAAATAGGCAGCACCATATTCCTGGAGAGCAAGCAGGGGCTGCTTTCAATTATCCATGGGATATTTGCCATGACCACCAATGGGCCAACAGACCGACGTTGGTCACATGGGGCTTCCCCACTCCTGTAGGTGTCTTCACCATTGCTGCCCTCTCCCAGGGAAAGGGAATTTGTCTCTCTGTGCAGGGACTCTTTGGAAAGGCAATCATTTGAAATGCAAATTTCCCATAGGAGGGCCAAGCCTTCCCAAATTTTTCTTGTGTTAATACCACTGCCACCCAGGTATCAGAATCCAGCCTAGGGTCTTATTCCACATAATTAAGAGGAAAGAAGAATATGCAAGGGAATGACTAGGGAGGAGGGAGAAAAGGGGTTCTGGGGTGTTCCCTGAAGTTTGGTGGCTTTATGTACAAAGCTTCTTGGAACATCCTAGAAAAGGGTCAGGCTACCCTTTCTGCCTCCATATTATGATTCACACACATGCATGGGCACACACACACACACACACACATGCCCCTTGGGACATACACTGTGGAACTGTCCTCCCACTGTGGACCATAAGATATTATCTAATCATCAATATTAGCATCTTGTGAGACATTCCCCTGTTGCCCCAGTGCTTGGGACAAGGATAGACTGTCTTTTTTGTTTTCTCATACTCTCCTGTAGGGACATGGAGGCAGAGGTCAGGGGGCAACTGGTATTACCTATTAGGATTTCAGAACAAGTATGAAAGGTCAAAGTTTCAATGCCACATCTTTCTTCCTGGGCACCACAGCCCTGCATGAAAGATGGAGCTATCATTAGAAACTGGAGCTTAGAGCTCATTGTTCTGAGACCCTACTGTCATGGAAACCAAACTCAGGAAAATAAGGATGAAACTGTCCCTAGAGAAAACTCCCTTCAGAGAGGAAGCCTACATTGCCTGTCCTGCCCCTCCAGGGTAGATTCAGGACTTAGGACCCTCTTCTTGAGCAGGGAGTGCCCTCCAAGACAGGGTTAGGACATGATGGATGTCATGGCCCCTGTCATCCACCTCACATTCTAGGATCCACCACTTCTTCCCCAGTTTGTCTTTCATTTTAAATGGACCTTTCAGTTTTAACAAATGATCTAAAACTGTCTATCTTTCTATCATCTGCCTTTCTATTTACCCATTATCTATCTGTACATCATCCAACCATCCATCCATCCACCATTCATCTCCGACTCTCTGTCGCTCTTTCTATCTCTCTGTCTATCTCCTTCTTTCTCCAAGAGGGTTCTTTCTATTCATGTCTTAGGATATTTCAGGCTAGAAGATTACCATGACAAATCTCTCCAAACTAGGCAGGAAAAATAGATATTTTTAAAGGGTAAGATTGGGAGGTGGTAAGAGAAAGAAACCAACTCAGTTACACCTGTAACAGGTCACACCTTGGATATTTTCAAATTTCTTTCTAAGGGTGGGGAAGGGAGTGCTGTTCTGGGAGGCCTGTTTGATAATCTATCTCTGAGATCTCTACCCAAGCTCTGGCCCCAGGGTTATGTCTCTAAACCATTTTTCCTACTTTCCATATTCCTCCTCACACTCACTGGGGGGTGGGTTGTACTCCCTAGGAGGCCCCCATCAGACCATGTGGACTAGAGAGGTGAGAACGGGGGAAGGGGAGAGGCTGCTATTTGGCGGCCCAGAGTGAGGATGCATTATTTCATTTCAAACTCTCAGTTCTGGATTGCTGAGGCCAAGAATGATGAGAAGGTTGAAATGAATGGCCTGTGTATGTATTGGAAATCTTTTCTCCAAAAAATACTGAGCTCAAGAATCACACTATAGGGCCTCCTGGGGCTTGATGGATCACTGTGCCTTCTGGGACAACTTGGAGCTGGGAGAGGACCGTTTGTGCAGAAAATAAATCATGAAATCTATTAGTGTCCCTCAAGGGAGTCTGGATCTCACATTGTTTTAGCTTCATTCTTTTCCCAAACCCTCTCTCTCTCTCTCTCTGTCTCTCTCTGTCTCTCTCTCTCTGTCTCTCTGTCTCTCTGTCTCTCTCTCTCTCTCTCTCTCTCTCTTTCTCTCTCTCTCTCTCTCTCTTTCTCTCTCCTCTGCTAGAGCTTAGTAGAATGCTACTCAGCATTCTCAGCAGAAGAACTGACCATTGCTTACTCACTTTGGAGTTTCTCTGTAAGCCCTTCTCTCTCTGGTTCTTCCCAAAGAAAGCAAATCTGGAGCCCACCACCTCCCTTAGAAGTACTATCAATTTCTGCCCTGTCAGTGCCCATCCCTGAAGAGTGGGAAGAAGATGAGAATGCAGGGAAGGAATTTTGTCTTGTTTTAGTTACAGGGTTGACCAAATTCATCACCAGATCCAAAAATGGGCCATCCATGCTGAAATATTCCTTTGGCCCCCGTAATCAAGACTATTTTGACCCATGCCCTTATATCCTTTCTAAAATTGCAGAGACCTTTGGCTAACCCCATACCTGTACCCTGTGTCCCGGAACTTGTCCTCAGTGATGGACTGGAGGCAGGTATAGGACTCCCAGGCTGGATTCTAACCTTAATTTTGTCCTCCACTTTCATCTGGTTTTCATATACTATGTTGAATCTCAGGTAAGTGAGGTCTTCTGTTTTGGGTGAGTCTTTATTCAGACAGTAAGGGTTCAGCCGCTGTGGGTGACCCACCAGACATCTGGCAAAAGCAACCTCTCTGTCCTGATAAAGGCGCTATCCAAATCTCCACTTCTCGGAGGGCAAATAGTTTAGTTTGGCACTGACCTTCATGACCTTACATCGATCCTTAGAGAAAGCCATATAAATCAGACTGCAATATTAATTATGAATGCTACTCTACATTACAGGAGAATAGACCATGTGCTAACTCAACTTTGGAGTTTCTCTGTCCGTGTTTCTAGCTCTATGTCTTAGCCAAGTACCTCCCCCACCCCCTCCCTCTTTCTAGCTGTAGGGGGGAGAGAGAAATAAGAATGCTGCTGACCCCTGTGCCGCTCCTTTGTGTGCGTGTGATGTTTTTAGGAACCTGCTATCGTGACTGGCCGTGGTCGTGACTGTAACATTTGTTATCCTGTGTGTACCCACTCTATGTCTCTGCGCATTTTATCCTGTCCCCGAGATGAAATGCATCATGTCGTCAGTCAGTAAATCATGGGAGGGAGGTGGGAGGGGGAGTGGGAGGGGAATGTCTTTTCAAATTGCTTGTTTTCACAAATGCAAACTTTGAGTAGACGGGGCATTTCCCAATAGCAATGAGCTTGTCCTCCCAGTTTCCAGATGCGTGGAGCCCCTCCCGGGCACGGTGCGGGGCCAAGGACCACCCGTGCATGGTGGAGACATGTGGATGTCCACCCCATGGTGCTTTGCCTGCTTCTCTTCCTGCATGATGTGGTGATTAATGTAATGTTCTTTTCCAATGGAATCGCGGCCAATAAAGAATTACATGATCTCACTCCCTGTGACTTTTCTTATTTTCTCAGAGACAGGACTAGGGGAGATGGGAAGGCAGTCAACCCACTGCTCAGTTGCCTGCATGCCTGGTCTAGACTGTCCTGGCCATGCTATGGAGGAGGATTAAAGGAGCATAGAATGATAGCCCGGGACCAGGGATTTTAGGTATCATTTAATCTTACTCCATTTGACAGATCAGAAAACTGAGGCACAGAGGTCTAGAAGGATGAGATGGGGTTCTGGACTCAGAATCCTGAAGTCAAGGGTAAGACACAGGACTCACCCATGGGAAAGAGTGAAGAAAACAGGACAGCATATGGTCAGTGGACTAGTGAGTGGAACTTGGTTCCTCCTGTAGTAGTGAGAGGAAGGAGGGCTAAGAAGGGAGGTAGGATGTAGGATGGCTAGGCTAAAAGAACTTCAGGATCATGGAATCCCCGAATTCCAGAGTTGAAAAAGACCTTAGAGGGCATCTAGTCCAACCCTAGGAGCAAGAATGCCGCTACATTTCCAATAAGTGGTGAAGAGCTCTTCTGATGACTCATGAACACTTGGCTAATGATAGAGTGAACCTAATAAGTGAAAATATATTTGTCTGAAATCCCTAGAATCTTATTAAAAGGACTTTAAACTAAAAAGGGAGAGGGAGGGAGGAAACTGGCTGCAAAAGTCTGCCAGAATGCTACAAAGGTATAACAGGTAAATGTAACAAGTAAAAGCAGGTAAAACAGAAATAAAAACAGCAATAGAGGCCAGTAATGCACAAAAGATGATAATTTAGGAGGGCATCAGCAATAAAACCCTTGGCCTCAGATAGTGTCTTAGACTCAAAGGGCTAATTCTAAGAGTGGAAGAGGTGATCAATCTCTCTCTCCCATTCCCCAATATTGAGCAGCTAATGCTCTTTAAAAGGATAGTTAAATGGTAAACATTGCTGCCATACCAGCTCAAAGAGAAAAGTCAACCCAGTATAAAACTCACGTATACTCCAGCTTTGGGGCCTATCGTAGGATACTGAAGCTGGCTGTATCTTAGATGAATAGTGAGTGCAGAGAATATGAAAGCTTCCCTGGCTACTTTGAGTACTTCAGCCCGGTAGAGCTCTTGGTCTTATACCAGAGGTCAACACACTAAGATAAGTACCAGTATTTATGTCAAGGCCATCACATGATTCTTCAGTAGCAATGCAATTTG